GAGCCGAGCTCTAGAATGCATGTAAGGTGTAGACTTGTAGTCTATGTATTGTATAGCTAGAGCCGAGCTCTAGGGCTTGCGTGGTGATGTAATAGAGCCGAGCTCTAGAACGCAAGGTAAGGAATTGACCCGAGTGACATGAATTGTATGGTGATGTAGTAGAGCCGAGCTCTAGAATACAATGTCATGTGTTAGGGTTGGACTCTAGGAGTTGTCGTGGCTTATAGTCACGGGGTTGGGAATGGTGATTTCCAAATGAACATGGGCCCACGGGCCGTCTACTTGACTTTTATATAAAGTAAGTATATTTTTAAACGGGGTAACTTAGGGTTACAATCATAATGTACTATCACCCTATTTGAGGGTCTTGTGTTTGAAATACTTGTTGTATATCTATTAGATGCCTGCCACACCAGCACTTTATAGCCGTATAGAGTGCTGACCCCTTCGGGGGCGTCCCACCACCATTTTTCAGGTTGAGGCTAGAGCTTGCTTCCTGTGCTCGTTGCTCGAGAGATCATCTAGGAGCGAAGACTTGGTTCGTGCTTCCTCCATCCGGATTTTAAACATTAATAAACATGCTCATGGATATTTTAATATAGAGCCTGCGTGCTCATGAATAGCCCTGTGTGGCCCTTTTGTTTTAAACAATGTTTTCCGCTGCTTTATGAATTACTTATTATGTTGTTTATGGATGACTTGTGTGTGAATGATATTCATGACGCCTTGTATAATATGAATGTGTTGGACTGCGGTTGACTATTCGTATTGTACGGCGGGTTGTTGACGTGTCCGGGGAGGTCCGGGGCGTGACAATTAAGTTGGTATCAGAGACTTAGTCCATAAACTTCATAATGAAGTCTCAAAATTCTCTTTTTGGAAAAATTTTGAAAAAAAACCATGAGCATAGAAGTTTTGTACTTGGAGAGCTTTTGGTACTCGGGTTGCAAGGTCTCTAATTGTTAAGATGGTACCCTTAGCAATTGGTATGGCGGTGACTCGAGCCAGAATGTGTCTTAAGTACCTATCCGTCAATTGACATTTGATACGAGTCTAACGACTCTTTCCAAATTCTTTCAGAAATGGACCGTGGTGGCAGGATTACTAGGAGAAACCCGACCGGCCGTGTACCAGTGGAGACTGGACAGGGCAGTCGAAGGACCTCTAGGGCATCTAGAGGAGCTGGCCGTGGAGGCCGATCACAGACCGTGAGTGACGGTCATGTGGACACAGAAAGTGAAACCTACTGGTCCTATGAGGACTCGACTTACCAACCGGAAACTGAGCCGGTTGAGACCCCTTACGAAGGGGATGACGATGATGTAAGTGATGAAGAGGGGGAGAATGACTCCCTAGCAAGAATTGAGGCGCTGCTCCAACAATATCAACGGGAGCGCGAGGAAAGGAGGCAACGCCGAAGACGGCGAGCGGGGCAACCTTCGGGCATGGCTTCGAGAGGAGGAAGTCATGGTGCATCTAGAGTCCATGTGGAACCACATGGAGGCCAAAATGATGGAGGTCCAACCATAAGGATCTCCAAATTTATCAAAGAAGCAAGAGATTTGGGGTGCAAACCCTTTGATGGAGCAGGGGACATTTCAGTTGCAGCACAATGGATTAAGAGGCTAAATGAAGCAGCCCTTGACATGCAAATCGCGCCAAATCTCAAACTGAGAATTGCGGTAAGATTGCTCGAGGGGATGGCATCCAAGTGGTGGGATGGAACCAAGAGCAAGTACGGTGAGACCGTCGTTTGGGAGGACTTCCAACGGGAGTTCTTTGCCCAATATTATTCTGATTTTGAGGTGAACAAGAAGGTGAGGGAATACACCCTCCTGACCCAAGGAGGTAACATGACAGTGAAGGAACTTGAGTACAAGTTCCGGGATCTCGCCGACTACATACCGGAGTATGCTTGTGACGAGAACCGAATGGTAAACCACTTTTGGGATGCTCTTGACTTGGAGATACGTGATAGGGCAACACAATTGCCTAATATGACCTTCGCCCAAGTGGTTGACCAAGCGTTGAAGGGGGAGAAACAGTGGGAGGAGAGGAAGAAGAGAGACGCCGAGGAGGCGAAAAAGAGAAAATGGGAGAGTCATGGCTCCCAAGGTTCCAACAAAAAGGGGAACCATGGAGGAGGATCTTTCCGGGCACCGCCGCCACCGTCTAGGGGGAATCAAGGCCCGAGTGGGCAAGGCTCGAGGTCACAAACCTCGGTGGTAACTCGTTGCAACAATTGCAAGAGGAACCACTCCGGTAAATGTCGCGACCCCCCTAGATGTTTTCAATGTGGGGATGCCGGGCATTTGAAGGCGCATTGCCCACAATTGGGTGGGACAAGGACATCGGGACCGAGCAGTGGCCCGACGGGTACACGGAATCAAACCGGAGCTTCTCAAGCGAGCCGGGGACATGGGGGAGCGAGTACGAGCAACGCGCCATCCGTGAATCAAGGAAGAACTCAAGCTAGAGTTTATGCGATGACGGAGGCGGATGCTCGAGCTAACCCGGACTCGGTTGCAGGTATTGCCTCTTGCACAATTGTATTTTGTCCATATTTAATCCATAAATTGATGACATAAGTCATAGGGATTGAGTGTGAGCCATTACGGGGTCAAACGGCGAAATTCGGGCCAAAACTGACCAAAAACAGGGACGCACGATCGTGCGTCCAACCCCACGCACGATCGTGTGTAGGGGACAGTGGTTCCAGGTGAATTTCGCGCAGGACGCACGACCGTGCGTGCCGGTACGCACGCCGTGCGTGGACGCACGATCGTGCGTGGTCGGGTACGCACGATCGTGCGTAACCGGCAGTGGTCGGATTCGACGTTTCTTCACGCACGCACGACCGTGCGTGTCCCACGCACGACCGTGCGTGGACCCCAGCCGCCCGAAACACGAGTTTTTCATCCCGTTCTTCTATGATTGGACCCCCGTTTGATTCCGAACATTTATATGAACCTATTAACCTCCTAAAAAGTGTCCTAAACCATTAGAAAAGGTATCTTACGTGGTGTATAAATGTAGGAACATTAAAGATTAATGGGAAGGATGCACGAATCCTTATCGATACCGGGGCGCAACGTTCGTTCGTGAGTGAGGCGTTCGCCGAGGACTTAGGGGTACAATCAACACCAATGACACAAACCTTAGTGGTATCAACCCCACTAGGGGAAGACGTTGAAAGAAACGATTACTATCCATCTTGTATGGTGGAAATCGGTGGCCAAACCTTGACGTGTGATTTCGTACCGCTGAGTATGATGGAGTTCGATGCAATCCTAGGGATGGATTGGCTAGAAAAGCATCATGCTAGGGTAGATTGCTACACAAAGGTGTTGGAACTCGAAGGCACACAGGGGGACACCCTACGCTTCGAGGGGGACCGCGGCAAATCAAATAGTTGTATCATATCCGCCGTGAGAGCGAGAAATATGATGAGGAAGGGATGCCACGCATATCTAGCATACGTGGTTGACAAAACCAAAGAGGAAACGAACATCGATGATGTGAGGGTGGTTTGTAAGTATCCGGATGTCTTCCCTAAAGACCTACCGGGGCTTCCACCTGACAGAGAGATTGAATTTGTGATCGAGGTCGAGCCTGGTACCAAACCAATCTCCATACCGCCATACCGGATGGCACCCGCTGAACTTAACGAGTTGAAAACCCAATTGCAAGAGCTTTTGGATAACGGTTTCATTAGACCAAGCCACTCCCCGTGGGGAGCACCGGTTCTTTTTGTGAAAAAGAAAGATGGGACACTTCGAATGTGCATTGACTATCGTCAACTGAACAAGGTCACAATCAAGAATAGGTATCCGTTGCCTAGGATTGATGACTTGTTTGATCAACTACGAGGAGCAACCGTGTTTTCGAAGATTGACTTAAGGTCGGGGTACCATCAATTGAAGATTAAGGAAGATGACATACCAAAGAGTGCTTTCCGCACAAGGTATGGGCATTTTGAGTTCCTTGTTATGTCGTTTGGGTTAACAAACGCCCCGGCGGCATTCATGGACTTGATGAACCGAGTATTCCATAAATACTTGGATCGATTCGTGATTGTGTTCATAGATGACATCTTGATTTACTCAAAGAGTGAAGAAGAGCATGAGGAGCACTTGATACTTGTTCTTGAAACACTACGGGAGAAGCAACTCTATGCCAAATTTTCTAAATGTGAATTTTGGCTAAAGGAGATTGGCTTCCTCGGGCACGTGGTTTCGGGATCGGGGATTGCTGTTGATAACAAGAAGATAGAAGCCATTACTGAATGGGAGAGGCCAAAGAACGTCAAGGAAATTCGTAGTTTCCTTGGATTGGCAGGCTACTATAGAAAGTTCGTGGAGAAGTTCTCTGTTTTGGCATCGCCATTGACGAAGCTCACTCGTAAAGGAGCTAAGTTTGTATGGGATGACAAATGTGAGAAAGGGTTCATGGAACTAAAGAAGAGATTGACTGAGGCACCGGTACTTGCATTACCCAAACAAGGTGTGGGGTACGATGTCTATAGCGATGCGAGCATCCAAGGGCTCGGATGTGTACTGATGCAGAATGGGAGGGTAATCGCCTATGCTTCACGACAATTGAAGAAGCATGAGGTGAATTATCCTACTCATGATTTGGAGCTCGGGGCAGTGGTATTTGCACTGAAGATATGGAGACATTATCTCTACGGGGAGACATGTCACATATACACTGATCACAAGAGCTTGAAGTACGTGTTTACTCAGAAAGAGCTAAACATGAGACAGAGACGGTGGATGGAGCTGATAAAAGACTACCATCTAGTGATAGAGTATCACCCAGGCAAGGCAAACGTGGTGGCAGATGCTTTGAGCCGGAAGAGCTCGTCTGGGGCATTGATAACTAATTTGAGGGCATTAAGAGCCCAACTGGAGGTAACCAGCGATGGTGCCTTATTGGCACGATTTGAGGTGAGACCCACTTTACTTGATGAGATCAAGAAGGGTCAGGAAGCCGACGAAGAACTTATGAAGGTCCGGGAACGCATGCAAGCGGGGCCGGTGGAGGATTTCAGGGAAAGAGATGATGGTCTCTTGTTATTTCGTGACCGAGTGTGTGTACCGTCAGATGATGAGCTCCGAAAGTCCATCTTAGAGGAGGCTCATTCATCGGCTTATGCCATGCACCCGGGGGGCACGAAAATGTACCGTGATTTGAAGGAAAGTTACTGGTGGTCTGGAATGAAGAGGGAAATAGCCGAGTACATCAGTCGGTGCCTTACTTGTCAACAAGTTAAGGCAGAACATCAGCACCCAGCAGGCTTATTGCAACCACTCTCCATCCCTGAATGGAAGTGGGAGCACGTGACTATGGATTTCGTGGTAGGCTTACCACGAACTATCAGGAACTATGACGCGGTTTGGGTCGTTGTGGATAGGCTCACAAAGAGTGCACACTTCTTGCCTATCAACACTACCTACCCACTTGAGAGGTTAGCCAAATTGTATACGGATGAGATCGTGAGGCTGCATGGGGTCCCGGTGACCATTGTATCTGATAGAGACCCACGATTCACATCACGTTTTTGGCCGAAATTCCAGGAGTCTATGGGAACGAAGTTGAAGTTCAGCACTGCTTTCCATCCACAGACGGATGGGCAGTCTGAAAGGGTTATACAGATCCTAGAAGACATGCTGAGGGCTTGTGCATTGGAGTTCCAGGGGAGTTGGGACAACCACTTAGCACTTGTGGAGTTTGCCTATAACAACAGTTATCAGGCAAGCATCGGCATGCCTCCATACGAGGCATTGTATGGGAGGAGGTGTCGTACACCGTTATGCTGGGACGAGGTTGGCATGGCCAAACTCGAGGGTACTGAGTTGGTGGAGGTCACCAAATCAAAGGTGAAGTTAATTCGAGAGAGACTCAAGGCGGCTCAGGATAGACAAAAGAGTTATGCAGATAAGCGTCGAAGAACCTTAGAGTTTAAGGTTGATGACGAGGTATTCTTGAAAGTTTCTCCTTGGAAAGGGATCATTCGGTTCCAAACCCGAGGAAAACTTAACCCACGATATATAGGTCCATTCAGAATTATAGAGAGGATTGGGGCCGTTGCATATCGTCTACAATTGACTCCTGAGTTAGAGAAGATACATAATGTGTTTCATGTATCCATGCTTAAGAAGTACGTGCATGATCCCTCTCACGTATTGGAGAAGCCACCTGTAGAGGTACGTGAGGATTTGAACTACGCTGTTCAACCTATCAAAGTCACCGATAGAAAGGTGAAGAAGCTGAGGAGCAAAGAAGTCCCAATGGTTAAAGTCCTGTGGAAGAGCGATCGGGTCGAGGAAGAGACATGGGAAACGGAGGCTTTGATGAGGAAGCAGTATGCTTTCATATTCGAGTAGAGCTGTGAATTTCGGGGACGAAATTCCTGTTAAGGGGGGGTGAACCTGTGACACCGCACCCGAACGTCCTTGAAAATTCGATTTAAAAATTCAAAAGTGATGTATTGAATTTCCGATTTCAAAGCAATGGAAGAAACGATTAATATTTTACGAAGTACATGATTGAATATTGTATTGTTCAAACCCGCATTCTTTTGTAATTTTCATCGTGTAAATTATTGGGATGAGCCTACACATATTGGAGATCAATAATGTGATTTAGGAAGTTGACTTGCTCTAAATAAGTTAGAATGAGTACAAAAAAAGACATCTTTTGACAAAGATAAAACAATAGGACCCATCTTCCCATTTTTGGAAGTATTGGTAGATATTTTGGACCCCAAATTAAATGGGATCATTTGGGAACCATCCCACATGACCTTGGTACCTGCAAAGACAAAGAAAAATGGATGAGACAACTATGTGGGGCGTACTTTTGACTCATGAGCTACAACATTACAAAAAGGAAATAAAAGAGGAGGTCCATACCATGTTTGATTGCAATCAAATACCCCACCCTTCTTTTTTGTGAACCACATGCTCTCTTAGCATGATTGAGGCCTTCCTAATACATTTTCCCTACACCCCATTCGAACTCCCAAGATAAGAGAGAAAGAGGGAGCCACATATTCCAAGGGAGAAGAGAAGAGAGAAGCTGGCCGCAGGATTCGTTTTCCAGCAGATAGGGTCTCTTGTTTGATTCATAACTTGAGCTTCACTCGTCCAAATAAGGCGTATGATATACCAAAAGAAAGCTCTCAAGACGAGGAATCTGTGAAGGCCTGGTTTGCAGGAATCGGAGTTGTGGAAGGCTTCCAAATCGTCCGAGAAAAACGCAACCTCGCAGGAGAGGATTTAATCTTCTAAAGTGAGTTTTAACCCCAAAGCTTTACTTTTCATTCTCCAAATGATATGAACGATTGGTGAGACTATTATACACTAATCCAAGTGTATAATATGTCCTTATAAAGTTATTTTATTGATGTAAAGGTTAGATACTAACCTAGATGCAAATATTGGAAAACTAGGAATCGAGTTAGCCGGAAAACACCCGTTCTAGGGGCTGTTTTCGTATCAACGATTAAGGGTTGAACTAGCACTTTGAGGAGGCTGTTTAACACTCATATTTGAGCAAGGAATCAGTCCCAAATCCACCTTGACCAAATATTTGACCGTTGGACCAAGAAGGGAAAGTTTAAAGCTCAATTGAGGTGAGGATTGACATCTAATTGCTTACAACTTGTAGGTTAAGCATGAGATTACCTAAATGCTTAAATCATGATTTTTCATGGATTATGATGATTATATATTGATGAAATATTGATATAGTTGCCAAAGAATGAAATTTGAAATGATTTGAGAAGGTATGAATAATATGAGATTAAATGAGTATAAAAGAACCATTTTGTGAAAATGGGTATTTTACTCATGTATGAATTATGTGGATACATAAATGAATATTTGTGTATTGAGGTTAAATACTTAAGTTGCTGCTACATAATTATAAATATGTAGAGAATTACAAATAAAGAGGATAGTGGTATAATAACAATAATCTTAATAGTATTGAAATACTAGTTAGTGATTATTGGAACTTGTTGATTAAATTGATCCTAGGGATTGGATTGTATGAAAGGTGCTTGAATATAGTTCAAGTGTATATAATAACTTAGTATGGAACTAAGGTTAAGTTATGGGAAGTCTTTAAGGATGACCCATGGCAGTTTAATGATATGTCAATTCTAGGCATAGGGTTGCTTGAGAATTGGACCTTAATGCATGGTGATGTAGTAGAGCCGAGCTCTAGAATGCATGTAAGGTGTAGACTTGTAGTCTATGTATTGTATAGCTAGAGCCGAGCTCTAGGGCTTGCGTGGTGATGTAATAGAGCCGAGCTCTAGAACGCAAGGTAAGGAATTGACCCGAGTGACATGAATTGTATGGTGATGTAGTAGAGCCGAGCTCTAGAATACAATGTCATGTGTTAGGGTTGGACTCTAGGAGTTGTCGTGGCTTATAGTCACGGGGTTGGGAATGGTGATTTCCAAATGAACATGGGCCCACGGGCCGTCTACTTGACTTTTATATAAAGTAAGTATATTTTTAAACGGGGTAACTTAGGGTTACAATCATAATGTACTATCACCCTATTTGAGGGTCTTGTGTTTGAAATACTTGTTGTATATCTATTAGATGCCTGCCACACCAGCACTTTATAGCCGTATAGAGTGCTGACCCCTTCGGGGGCGTCCCACCACCATTTTTCAGGTTGAGGCTAGAGCTTGCTTCCTGTGCTCGTTGCTCGAGAGATCATCTAGGAGCGAAGACTTGGTTCGTGCTTCCTCCATCCGGATTTTAAACATTAATAAACATGCTCATGGATATTTTAATATAGAGCCTGCGTGCTCATGAATAGCCCTGTGTGGCCCTTTTGTTTTAAACAATGTTTTCCGCTGCTTTATGAATTACTTATTATGTTGTTTATGGATGACTTGTGTGTGAATGATATTCATGACGCCTTGTATAATATGAATGTGTTGGACTGCGGTTGACTATTCGTATTGTACGGCGGGTTGTTGACGTGTCCGGGGAGGTCCGGGGCGTGACAGAGGCCCTATGCATTTTTAGCATAGTAACCTCTCATCGCAGTTGCCGGGATTCGAACCAGGGACCTAACCCTTGTGGCACTCCCTCGCTACCAGTTGAGCTACGCCCACCAGTTTGTTTGATGTTTTATAAATTTAAATGATGTTGTAAGATAAATTTATGTTAAATTAAATTGAAATTGTAATATGATATAAAAGAAAAGGAACACATATAAGCCGTTATACACTTTTTTTGAAAGTAAAACCAACAATTATACTTTCTTCTTTATTTCTTAAATAAATGCAACGGTCAACATTTCACATTTGTGGAGACACAACTTTGGTCATTAATATATATAGTTCTCTATTCGTAAACAAAAAAATAGATTTTGAAAATTTACAATGATACAAATTTAACAATAATATTTTCAAATATATATATTAATACATTAATAAAATGGCTACAAATACTATCAGGACAACGATAAAAATCGCTACAACCCGCTTGAGGAAGGGCTACTCTAGCTAGCTTAGACTATGAACTGCACGATTCGAGGATCGTTTACAATAACTGGCACTAAAGCTAGCTCCAGAATAAAGTTGTTTGATATCTTCCATCACCACGTCAAAATAAAAATTTCCATTTTCACCTTCTAAGGTAGTAGTGTCAACTTGCCCATCTGTCTCAAGGATTACTCGATCCCACCCTTTCCTTTTTGCCCAAGCTAAAGCCTCTCTCACTCCTATGGTCTCCGTTATTCTGATAGGCCAATCTGCTCTACAAGAGTCCCATCCACCTCCCATAAAGTTATCATCATGGTGTCTCGCTACCCCAGTCCCAGACTCTTCTGCTCCTGTAATCATCAATGGTGCCATCCATGATAATTCTTATTTCCCATAGAGCAGGTCTTTTTCATCTAGTGTCCGGTTCTACCCCTCCACGAGGTGCTGTTGATGTGCCTTGAGTTGCCCACCATCCTTGAAGCATTACAGCTTCAAATTCTAATATTGATTACCTGTGAGGGATTAAAAGATTTATTATTTCAAACCACTTCATTGCGCTCTTTCCCAATACTCCATAGCAATGAAATAAATTTGCATAATTCATCCTCTGTTATGATATTAAAAATATGTTTCATCCAGTCCTGCATGGAATTAGTCGAACGCCTCAAATCCGCAATACTGCATGGTATTTGTGTGAAATTTTGAAGGAATTAATTTGATCAAAACCACAAGGAATTTTCATCATGCATGCTTCTATATTAAACATGATAGCAAAAAGGTTAAAGACATTTGTTACTTATGACACTTTCAAGGCAAAATTTGGAGAATCCTTGAAAGATGTCTATGACCGATTCCTAATGCTTACGATCTGAGAGAAATTAATGAGCACAAATCAAACGTAGAGCTGAATGTGGGATTTTTGTCCTCTGTAACATCAGAATGGGAGGACCTGTGTACACGCATGTGATATACTCAAGACTTGGAGGAACGAACTGGATATTCATATAGTGTTTAGATCTCTGAATCGGTTTGCTATTGACTTCTTAGACACTGTCGATGAACAAACAAATGAAGATATCATAGACACATTGACCGACTCCATAGCCTCATTACGTTACAAATTTTTAAAAAAGAGACATCTCTTCTAGAAAAAGCATTACTGATGATAACTCAAGTTGCTTTGTCCGTGGTATGCCAAGAACCCTCATCCCTCAAAAGGAACCGCAGAATGCTCAGAAGAAGAAAGGATACTAAATTTTCCAAAGAAGAAGATCAGTTGAAGAAGAAAAGGCTTCTCAAGAAGGAACAGGGAATTGTTCTAATTAATAGCCGAACATGATCATTGGCTGGAATATGAAGACAGTGACCCGGAGAACATGGAACCAATGGCGGACCCACTAAGGGTCCCATGGGGTCCCGGGACCCGTGGGTTTCGAAAAAATTACCTATATATATTACATATATTTTACAAAATTTACCTATATGTGATGTGTATATATAAAACATATGCGACATAAAGATCATATTGCTCAAGCAGAGAAATGATGCCATGCGTGCCTTTAAGCCCTTCTCAACCCTGAGGTGCAGGGTTCGATTAAATCTCATTCCTTTTATTTTATAACTCCAATGATGTCCTTTTGTTCAATTTTTATTAATTCAATTTTTTTGAATTAATTATAAAATTGCTTTAAATATTAAGATTAAAGCTTCAATGATGTCCTTTTGTTCAATTTTTAAACCCCTTCAAACCGCAGGCCATAGGAAATCTATCTCCCTTCATATCTCAACCATTTCTTATTAATACAATTTTTTTGAATTAATTATAAAATTGCTTTAAATATTAAGATTAAATTAAAAAATTACGTAGTATGTATTTATGAATGTTTTTTATTGAAATTATACGATTAAGGATGAAAATATATTTTTGTAATGTACCCATATTGAAAGAAATTTGGAGTACCGAGAGTAGTTAAGATATTAATTCAAATGATTTGTCTTTAGTAAATAAAGAATTGGATCTAGTACTTGCTGAAAGTGAAACTAATTTGACATATAATCGACATGAACAACATGCTAATTTCATCCTATGTTCAAGACAAGGTACATCGTAGTTACCGTAAAAAGGGTCGTTTCTACATCGGGATCATGATTTCCCTATTAAAGTAATTGGTGACAAAAAATGTAGATTTATTTCAAGTTGGTTTGATGAGCATAAATGGTTGGAATACAACATTGTCAAAGATGCTGCATTTTGTTTACTGTGTTACGGAGTATTTGATTAGGAATGAGTGGGAAGTTAGTGGTAATCATTTTTTGGGAATATGATTTTAAGGATGGATTAAAAAAGACAGATTTTATGTACATATTGGTGGATCTATATATTATAGAATATTTCCAACAAATGAAACCTAGAAGGGAACGTAACTTTTGTAGAATTGTTTAATGACTTTTATATGTATTTTTTTCTTTATATCATATTAATGTTTTGATGATGCTATATGCTTATTAATATTTTTCTGTAATTTTATACTAATGAGATTAACATTAGTTTAGGGACCCCGTGACTCTGATTTTCTGGATCCGCCATTGCATGGAACTGATGGCTAAAGTTGATGAAGCTGAAAATGACAGTGTTAGCTCTGAGGAAGATACAAGTTCTCCATCCGCTGAGAATAAGGTAAGTAGTTGTAACTCTTTAATTTCCAAGCAATGCACTAAAATTAATGAGCAAATTTCCACTTTAAAGAAAGAGATGAATAAAATAAAGGAACTTGAAAAGAGACTTGCTAATAACCAGAAATGTCTGGAAGCACGTTTAGAAAAACAATGAATTCTTAATTTGCGCTTAAAAAAATTCAAAAGATAAAGTCACTAACTTAGAATCCAAAGTAGCTAAACTTAAGAAAACTGTATGTGACTTAACTAAGAAAGTAGAAGATATTAACTGAAAAAGTTATGAAATTGTTATGTGATTTGAAGAAATTAATAAGGAACATAGTCATCTTTGCACAAAAATTAAGAAGTTAGTTGATATTCTTTCTAAGAGAGGACAATCTAAACAAATTGTTTTTATGCTAAATCAACCCAGAGACGGAACTTTATAATCCTAGAGAAGGACTAGACTTCCAAAACCCATGTAACTTAAAGCAAGTTATTTGCCCTCGATTTTATGACATAAGGTATATGAGATTAGTGTTAGAAAAATGATATTAAAATTGCGAGTTTAACCAGATAAAAATCCCGAGTTTATACAAATCACCAGACAAACCACCAAATGCAAGAACAAATAAAAATCATTAGAATAATTAAAAATGAACAAAGAGAAAAGATAAGGAAAACTGATCGCAGGATCGCCCGTTAGAACAGACTGGCCTTGAAGAAAAGCAGCCCCCGTATCCCGATAGCTATTCGGACGGGTCTGGCTAGCTCGCTCCCAGGATAATCCTACCACGTTTCAGGCTCGTAGCTACCTTGACTGAAACCTTCGACTGTTGCCAAATTTGCCAAGAAATAGAGTTGGCTTGAACATTTATCAATTTATGAAAGTATAATACCTAGTATATAAGTTATAAGTGCGCTTGGAATGGACAAACTAGTGGAGTAAAGACCCACTCAAATCAAAATGATTTAGGTATGATGATCTAAAGAGAATGATAGGGAAAGGATGTTTAATTTTCTTTTCTTTAGTATGTAAGAGCTGAGCTCAAAGAAACATGCAGGAGTGACCTTTATACTTCGTATAACGGAATAAGGAAGTAGGAGATAATAGTTCAACGGAAATCAACATTTCGAAGCATGAAACGGAAAACCACTTTAATGCTCATCCAAACCTGTACATTAACCACCATTAAGATATACTACGTATATGGACGTAAGTATGTAACGCGGGACCAAGCATCGTATTTCAATTTTGAATTCCAAATTGAATACTACTTTGCACGTTTTAATTTATGATTTAAAATAAAACTGTTTGGATTCAGCAAGTCATAATTTTTGTCAAAACGCAAGCAATCTCTTGATACATTTTAAATGATACTTGAACAATGTTCCTTATCATATAAAATAATTTACAACAGTACCTTTTATTTTATAAGCGACAAAAACTTATCATATTAAAACATCACTTTACCACCTTTACAACTATGGATTATTTTATTAATTATAATCCAATCATGAAAGTTGTACTTTAATGTATAATATATGATTTCCAAATCATACTCTATACATTTATCCTTAGGACTCATAAATGAGGCCCCCTAAAATCTATATTTTTCCATCATATTTCCAGCAATTAGGATATGCCAGTATGATGTTCTTCATTAGTGCATCTGAAATTAATGAGGAAGAAGAGGACAAAAGAAAGAATAGGGTTAAAGTTGAAATTAGTTTTAATTATTCTGCTCTTAATGAAAGCGATGCTACTAGACAAATTCCTATCTCAGATGACTATTTTGCCCTCTTCCCTCCTGAAAATCAAACTGTGTCTGCTAAGGCTGAAACATCTACTTCAAAGATTTCTGAACCATATTTTCCTACAATTACTAAGAAAATGGTTGATCTATATTCTTCTATCAAAGAAGAACGTGAGAAGTTTAAATCTGAATAGGAAAATCTATTAAAGAAAATTTTAGAAATAACTAATAATTTCTCTCAAGGCACAAAATCTCCTGTTAATTCCCTTTTTGAAAAGAATAAAAAGAAAAATCATTTTCAAGGAAAAGGGACTCATCCTCATCTCCAACACCCCATACAGGAAAATCTTTTTGTAATGCACCATATAGGAAGGATGACTTGGATTCCGAAGAAAGCAATGAGCAAAGAGAAAAGACTTGAGCAACCCAAGAAGATCTCTAAAATTTTTAATTTTGTTGAAAAGACTTGTAATAGTTCTATAAATTGTTTTTGTTCTAGTTCAGCCTTTAGTTCCTCTAGTTCATTTTCAGACAATTCTCCTAAGTTTTCTCCTACTCATTCTAGCTCTGTAAACTCTCATTCTTGTCATTATGCTATGTTTAATAATTTAAATTCCCCTTTGTCTAAATGTGATGTGAGTGATGTGGATGTTGATAATAACTGTGTTACTTTCTCTACTTGTAAAGGTTTTTGTTTAAATTATCCTTTAAAAGTTTATTCAATCAAACATCTTAAGAGATTAGCAAGAGAGAAGATATTCAAAAATCTCAAAAAAAAAAAACACTCACTAAATCAGAACAATTCTCAGCAAGTTTCTAAAAATTAAACAAGTCAGGTTCCTTAATTTTTGCAGGCCAGTCATGTGTGGTATCTTGATTCTGGTTGCTCCAAACACGTGACTGGGAAGAAAGAGCTGTTAAGCAACTACATGGACAAGTTTATTGAGAAAGTGAGATTTGGAAACAATGTGTCTGCTCCTATAATAAAAACTGATATGGAGATATATGTAATAGGAAGGTTACAATCAAAGATGTGTCATATGTTGTTGGGTTGACACATGACTTGTTTAGTATCGATCAATTCTGCGACAAAGGGGTGAAAGATATATTCCGAGCTAAACAATATTGTGTGAAAGATGAACAGGGGAAGACATTCTCATATCTAAATGCAAGTCAAGTCTATACATTATAGTCTTGAAAACCGTCTCTTCCTCACAGATGTTTGCATGTTGTCTAGAGCATCTTCTGAACAAAATCAACTGTGGCACAAGAGGATGTCTCATTTGAATTACAGGGATATACATACATTGTCATCAAAGAAACTTGTCATTGGTCTGCCAGCACTACGAACGCAAAATGATCATCTGTGTGATTCATGCGCACTTGGAAAAATGAAAAGAGCTTTTCACAAGATGAAAATGATTATATCTACTGCACGTCCTTTGGAACATCTTCACATGGGATCTTTTCGAGACCATGCGTACACAAAATATCAATGACAAGAAATACATTCTGGTGATAGTAGATGACTAGTCACGACACACATGGATATGATTCTTACGCACTAAAGACGAGGCTGCAGGCATCATCATCGCCTTTGTTCGAACCACACAGAACCTACTCCAGGCAATCATTCTCTCCATTCATTCAAATAATGGCACCGAGTTCAAGAATCAGAAGCTCAGCGAGTTCCACGAGCTACAAAGAATCATTCAGCAATTCTCTGCAGCGAAGACCCCACAACGGAATGGGGTAGTTGAACGAAAAAATAGAACTCTTGTTGAGCTGCTAGAACCATGCTAATTCACTCCAAACTTCCACATTTTCTATGGGCTGAAGCTATCAGC